TACATGAGCAAGCCCTTTATCAAAGCAGTAGTAAACATGGTCATGTTTAAGCCCTCTTGTAATTAAAACAAGATACCATTCTTTCCCTATTAGATTGGCAGTGTTGCTTTTTTGGCTTTTTTCTTTAACTATAATATGCATTTTAGGTTAGAGTATAAAGAAATGGCCATGGTGTGTTAAGTGAAAAGAAGTATTCTTTTCATGAGAATTTCATACATAAGGCTAGAAAGAGGCCTGCAAGAAAATGCCCCAAACTGTTCTGCCTGGCTGATAGGCTTACAGATGACTTATTTTCTCTATAATTTTCACTTCGTAATTTTTTTTCTGGCTACCATGTATTCCTTTTGTAATTTTAATTCATTTTCTAAATAATAAAAACAATTCAAATGATAGGAACTTTTTTTATATGAACATTTTTAATTTTTTTAAAAGATTTATGTATTTATTTGAGAGAGAGCACACACGAGTGCCCATGAGCTGGGGGAGGGGCATAGGGAGAGAAACTCAAGCAGACTCTGTGCGGGTCCAAGGCAGGGCTTGATCCCATGACCCCAAATCATGACCTGAGCCGAAATCTAGAGTTGGAAGCCCAGCTGATTGAGCCACCCGGGAGCCCCTATAAGAACGTTTTTAAGGCACCTTGATACATACTGCAAAATTGCTCTCCAGGAAAGTTGCACCAGTTACACGCCCACCAGCAATGTTCACTTTCAGTTTTGAGTCCAATCTGATTTTGTTTTAGTCTGCTCATATTTCTAATCATGTTATATCCCTTTTCATTATTTCCTTGGGGTTCCAACACTTCCCAGTTAGTGTTCTTACGGAACCTCATTAGCAGCACAGAAGGATTCAAGCATTAACTAGGATAGACTTTGACCGAAACCTGTAAAAATGTATGTTATTATCTTTGCATAAATCCTATTTAATCAGGGGCGCCTGGGTGGCTCAGATGGTTAAGCATCTGCCTTCGGCTCAGGTCATGCCTGGGATCGAGCCCCGCATCAGGCTACCTGCTTGGCGGGGAGCCTGCTTCTCCCTTTCCCTCTAACGTTCCCCCTGCTTGTGCTCTCTCGCTCTCTCTGTCAAATAAATAAATAAAACCTTTTAAAAAAAATCCTATTTAATCAAAGTTCCTCAGGAACCTTTCTTTGGTACTAATCTTAAGGCACAGAACTGGCCATCAATGATATTCTAGACCTTGGTCAGTGTGGTTCTATCTCAGAGGGAACGGCAGATTTGAGATGTATCTGGATTCATTACAAGGTTTAATGAGGTTCCATGTAGGTTCAGATTAATTCACTGCCGTTTGCTTTCACTCTTCAACAACCAAGGAATCTACCTTCACTTTCTGTCCTTATTTGTGTGATATACACACAAATTTCTTGTGTTATAAAATATCTACCAGAGGGGTGCCTGGGTGGCTCAGTTGTTAAGCTTCTGCCTTCGGCTCAGGTCATGATCCCTGGGTCCTGGGATCAAGCCCCACATCGGGCTCCCTGCTCCTCGGGAAGCCTGCTTCTCCCTCTCCCACTTCCCCTGCTTGTGTTCCCTCTCTCGCTGTGTCTGTCTCTGTCAAGTAAATAAATAAAATCTTAAAAAAAAAAAAAAAAATAGGGCGCCTGGGTGGCTCAGTTGTTAAGCGTCTGCCTTCGGCTCAGGTCATGATCCCAGCGTCCTGGGATCGAGCCCCGCATTGGGCTCCCTGCTCGGTGGGAGGCCTGCTTCTCCCTCCTCCACTCCCCCTGCTTGTGTTCCCTCTCTCACTGTCTCTGTCTGTCAAATAAATAAATAAAATCTTTAATAAATAAATAAATAAATAAATATCTACCAGAATAGGTATATTCTGGAAGTATTGTGAATGAATCTTTTTTTTCTGTACTTGAATCCCATTTTATTTTTTTATTTTTATTTTTTTTTTAAGATTATTTATTTGAGAGAGAGTGAAAGAGAGCATGAAAGGGAAGAGGGTCAGAGGGAGAAGCAGACTCCCCACTGAGCAGGGAGCCCGGTGTGGGACTCGATCCTGGGACTCCAGGATCATGACCTGAGCTGAAGGCAGTTGCTTAACCAACTGAGCCACCCAGGCGCCCCTTCCCATTTTATTTTTTTTAACGTTTATTTATTTATTCAAGAGAAAGAGCACATGAGGGGAGAGGGAGAGGGGGAGGGAGAGCAGACTCCCCTGAGCATGGAACCCAACACAGGGCCCGATCTCACAACCCCAAGATCATGACCTGAGCTGAAATCAAGAGTCAGACATTTAACAGACTGGGACCCCCTGGTGCCCTTTGAATCCATTTTAAATGCACTAGGGGCTATTACCAAGGTACACTTTTAGTAAAATAAAGAATCACTCCCTCTTTGTTTTTGTTTTATACACAAAATGTCACATATTAAATTTAGTTGATAAGTTTCATATATATTCTGACTTTCCATTATCTCTGCTAACAGATGACTAATGCAAAATATTGGATAATTTTTTTTAAGTCAATACTTAATTTTTAGAAATAATTAGAGACTCAACTCTGACATAAATATTCACCCCACTCAGTTCCTGGGCCTACTTATGTTAGAGAATAATCTATAAATAATTCACAAAGCTGGCATTACTCACTGTATTGTGATAATTTTTCTGGAAAATTTTAGCAACTGTTCTAATAAAGCTTGCCAGTTATCAGTAGTTGGGAATGCAAGTCAGCTTTTAATTAAGTAGAGGCTGATTATTCAGACTACAAACTGGTCATGCCCTGTACTGCTTCTTCCTGCTGCCTGCCTTTTACCATTTTCCCTGCTCATTAGCACATACTCCAGAAGGTAGGCATTGGACAGGGGGGAAAGGAGGAGAAACCAAAATCTGCTAAATACTTACGAGAAGTTCTGATAAAAGGTTTCAATACAATTTGTAGGACTGTTGACTGAAATTGAGTCATTTGGATTCCCTGTGAAGTTTTATTTACTTGTTCTATTCTTGTCCTCCATAGCAACAGAGAATAGAATTGTCTGCAGAGAGACAACACTATTCCTATATTTAATGTTTGCCTTTCTAGAACATTTCCACATGGTGGTTCATGATATTTTCTTTATTCATTACATTTGTCCCTAGACTGCTTCATTTCTTCAGTGATTGGTGGGTTGAGATTCCTCATGGTTTTTCAGTTATCCAGAAAACTAAAAGTTTCCCTCTGAAGTACGAGTATCTTTCGTATTTCAACCAGTTTGGTTGAAAATACAATTTCCTGGGTGCCTGGGTGGCTCAGTCGTTAAGCGTCTGCCTTCGGCTCAGGTCGTGATCCTGGGGTCCTGGGATCGAGTCCCACATCGGGCTCCCTGCTCGGCAGGAAGCCTGCTTCTCCCTCTCCCACTCCCCCTGCTTGTGTTCCTGCTCTCGCTCTCTCTCTCTGTCAAATAAATAAAATCTTTAAAAAAAAAAGAAAGAAAATACAATTTCCTCATGCTTCCACCAATTGAACACAATTTAAGCCATTCTGGATGCCCAAAGTTATCTAGTGCGTGCATCTTCCTGAGATATGTATGGCTATTACAAAACCCACATAGATATACCATCAGTCTAGGAACCTCTGATTGAGGGAAATGTTACAGTGTAAAGCTTGAGTGGTACTAGTGTTTCTGTTTGCCCTAAAGCTGTTATTCTTATATAAGTTTTCTTCCTCCTTCTCGTGTCTGTCACCCTGTCTCTTTTGCTGTTGTCAGAAAACCTGCCTCTTATTAGTTCTCTGTTTCTCAACTGCTGTGGGCTGAGAAACTGAATAACCAAGCCAGTTAAAACTGTGGCTAAAATAAGAGCAAATAGGACTGCATGAGAGGATAAAGAACTCCTCATCTATGAATATAAGTGTAGGAGCTTTGGTGCAGAAATAGCCTCACTGCTTAGAGGCCTTTTCCTTCCTTCCTAATTTTCAATCATGTAGTTAAATTGCTGGTTAATTGTGTTTCAAAGAAGAGATTGTTTGGGACATGAGACTGTCTTGAATGGAGCTTTTCGTTTTTGTTTTTTTTCCCCAAAGATTTTATTTATTTATTTTTTTAAAGATTTTATTTATTTGTTTGACAGAGAGAGACACAGCGAGAGAGGGAACACAAGCAGGGGAGTGGGAGAGGGAGCAGCAGGCTTCCCGCCGAGCAGAGAGCCTGATGTGGGGCTCGATCCCAGGACCCTGGGATCATGATCCAAGCCGAAGGCAGACGCTTAACGACTGAGCCACCCAGGGGCCCCGATTTATTTATTATTTTTGAGAGAAAGACAGACAGAGAGAGCATGAACGGGGGAGGGGCAGAGGGTGAGGGAGAAGCAGACTCCCTGCTGAGCAGGGAGCCCCATGCAGGGCTCAATCCCAGGACCCTGGGATCATGACCTGAGCTGAAGGCAGGCACTTAACCAACTGAGCCCCCCAGGTACTGCCAGAGAGGTTTTTTTTCAGTGACAACTACTGCTGGCTGATTTCCCACAAAGTTGTGGCAGATGGCAAAAATAAACAGGTGAGCTTAAGGAATATGATTTTTAAGAATGTATTATAAACCTGTTTAGTTTGGGAGAATAATTAGGTTATTTGTTCTATTAACTAACCAAAGACCAGTTAAACAAAAGCAGCTTCAACTATAGAAGCCTTTGGGAAATCACCTCAGCAGGTACTCTGGTTTTCTGTGTCCTGGTGAACATTATGAAACTGTCTATCTGGAAGGTTCCCGACTGATAGTTCCTTTATTATTTTTTTTAATAAATTCTAACCTTTGGATTTTTTTCTGATATTGAGACACAATGGTTAGGTTCCAGGATTCCGGTGGACTTTTCATGTGTTCATTTGCTTTGCTGCCTGGGGATGAGAGTTTGCTGTGAGTCGTTTTCCATCTGATGTATATTGGATCTGGCTGTGGAGCTATGACTCAGATGGGCTTCAGGCCCAGTTGCCCAGCTCATCTTCTGAGGAATGGATGGTGAGGCCAAGACTAACGTCCTGACACATTTTTCCTTTCTCCTCCAGCACTTTCAGGATCTAAAGAGAACAGTGTTACCAACAGCAGACAGGTCCGCCTTGCCACAGGCATCTTCCCTGTTGTCAGCCTCCTGAACCATTCCTGTAGCCCCAACACCAGCGTGTCCTTCATTAGCACCGTCGCCACCATCCGGGCATCAGAGAAGATTGGAAAAGGGCAAGAGATCCTCCACTGCTATGGTGAGCCCTCCCTCCTCATCACTGGCCACACTTCTCTGGCAGGAAAGGACAGGGCGAATGAGAACGAGCAAACCCCCGGACAGGTGAAGGCAGTGCATACTTAGCCCCCCCCCCCCAAAAAAAGGCCTCTGGCCTCCTTCCTTGGCCCTGTTGTGTCTAAACTATCATGTATCTCCCTGCTTAATCCCATAAACTTCCTTTTCCAAAAAATGGGCTAAGAATAACTTTGGGTTTTTTTTTTCCTTGCAACTTGGAAGCTTATTTCTATATCTAGTGCCACGAGTGTTTGAGTAAAGGGTACTTGTCGCATGATGAAGAACACCTCTGCTAAGCTGAAGTTTTGTAAGTAGTGCCTGACTCTCTGTTGCCGTAAACATTGGCCAGGCGTGGTCTCTCCGCAGGGCCTCACCGCAGCAGGATGGCTGTTGCCGAGAGGCGGCAGAAGCTGAGGTCCCAGTACTTCTTTGACTGCGGCTGCCCGGCTTGTCAGAAGGAGAAGCACCGGGCTGCCGTCGGGCCCCGGTGGGAGGCATTCTGTTGTGACCGGTGCAGAGCACCCCTGCAGGTGAAGCTCTCTTCTCCCTTCTCTTCTCCACGTGTGCTGGAGGTCAGTCATCCAGCCCAGAGGCCATAAATCTCCAGGAGAGGCTGAGAGCCACAGTGTCTTCCCCTTCAGCCCATCTTGCCCGCACACTGGTTACCCCTCCACGGGAACTCCCCCAGGAAAGGCTGGGTCTAGTCATCGGTCTCTTGGCAAATAACAGAAAATCCCCCCTAAACTGGTCTGAGAGAAAGGGGGGAAAAAAGGCTTGAGAATTTATTTGCTCAAGTAAATCACTGAAAGGTCCCAGTGTGGGGGTATTTCAGCTAACCGCTTGATCCAGGGGCTGAGAACGTCACCAAGGCCCAATTTTTTTTTTTTTAAAGATTTATTTATTTATTTGAGAGAGCGAGAAAGTACATGAGATGGGGGAGGGTTAGAGGGAGAAGCAAGCTCCTCGCCGAGCAGGGAGCCCGATGCGGGACTCGATCCAGGGACTCCAGGATCATGACCTGAGCCGAAGGCAGTCGCTCAACCAACTGAGCCACCCAGGCGCCCACCAAGGCCCAATTTGTCTCTACCTGCCTCAGCTCCACTTTCTCAGTCAGCGCAGTCCCAGCCAGACTTCCCTCTGGTTGAGGCAGGACAGCCACCTGCAGCCCCAGCCTCACAGCCTCTGCTCCGGGGGGGTAAAGGCACGCGCTCCCCGACAGCAGTCTGGGCAAAAATTTTACTGCATTTCATTGACCTGATACCCGTGGCTGGTGGCAAATCAGACTCATAGTTTTCCTCCAGCCGTTTGGCCCAGAGGAATGGGTCAGATGCGAGCCACACGCCCACCCCCTCAGCCACCAGGCACTGACTCTGGGAGGGTAGGAGAGGATCCTCGGGAGAAATCATGTTGCCATTGCCAAATGAGGGTCTAGATACTGGCATTTAAAAAAAAAACAGCACATGGGGCACCTGGGTGGCACAGTCAGTTGAGCATCCGACTCTTGATTTCAGCTCGGGTCATGATCTTAGGGTCATGGGATCAAGCCCCACACTGGGCTCCGTGCTGGGCATGGAACCTGCCTAAGATTCTCTCTCTCCTTCTCCCTTTGCCCCTCCCCCCAAAAAAATTAAAAATAAATAAGTGAATAAATAAAAACCAAAAAACAGCAAAAGTCCACCTCAAAGATTTTCTCCTCTGCCAGAGGATACAGTATTCTTCGGGGAACTGTAAATGTAGTGTAGAGCTGGCCGTGTTGCAAAGCTGAAGTTACAAACCCAAGGTCAGATATAGGGAGGCCTCACCTGGCATCTCTTCCTATTGGTTTTCTTACGGTTTTGCTTTTTTTTTTTTTTAAGATTTTATTTATTTATTTGACAGAGAGAGACAGAGCGAGAGAGGGAACACGAGCAGGGGGAGTGGGAGAGGGAGAAGCAGGCTTCCCGCGGAGCAGGGAGCCCGATGCGGGGCTCGATCCCAGGACCCCGGGATCATGACCTGAGCCGAAGGCAGACGCTTAACGACTGAGCCACCCAGGCACCCTTATTTTATTTTTTTTTTAATATTTTATTTGTTTGTCAGAGAGAGAGCGCGTGCACAAGCGGGGGAGCGACAGGCAGAAGGAGAAGCAGACTCCCCGCTGAGCAAGGACCCGATTTCAGAACTCGATCCCAGGACCCTGGGATCATGACCTGATCCGAAGGCAGACACTTAACTGACTGAGCCACCCAGGCATCCCTATTTATTTATTTTAGAGAGAGAGAGCACAAGTGGGAGGGCCAGAGCAAAGGGAGAGAGAATCTCCAGCAAGCTCCGCACTGAACATGGAGCCCGAGGCAGGGCTCGATCCCATGACCCTGAGATCAGGACCTGAGGCAAAACCGAGTGTTGGACACTTAACCGACCGAGCCACCCAGGTGCCCCTGGCTTTTGCTTTTTTTTAATGGAAGTACAGTTGACACACAATGTCACATTAATTTCAGGTGCATAACAGAGTGATTTAACAACTGTATACTAATGGCTTCTTCATAACCGCTAGAAATATGTCTGTCATCCAAAGTTCTGGATCCAGAGACACAGGAGAGGGGTATAGAGATGGAAAGAAACTGACATGTACCAGTTTAATTTTGGTTGCAAAAATTAAGTCTCCGGGAGGGACCGCCTACTGCTTTCATTAGCGTTGCTGCTGCCAAACCCAGTTGAGTCAGGCTTTGGTCATGGTGTATTAGTAGGGACGTCTCTTTGCCCCATAGGGTCGGAAGCTGCAGAACAACCCTATAATGTAAAACACATGCCGTGTTGCTAACCGACTGTGGTACAGGACTAAAGACAAACTGACTTTCACAGGGAGGTGACGTTCTGAGCTGTGGCAGCACGTCCTGTACGGAATCAGTCAGCAGGGATCACCTCATCTCCCGGTTACAGGACCTTCAGCAGCAGGTTGGGCAGGCCCGGAAGCTTCTCACAAGTGGTCAACTAGGTGAGACTGGCTCCCTACTTTGGTCCTCCAGCCCATCCCTTTTTATTTATTCTGGGTTCACCTTGGACTCAAGGCTACTCAGTGATGATAGAAGAATTACATTTAATTATCCCCATGCCAGCCACAAGATGGCTATGCAGGCCAATGAGCCCGAGCCCTAACCGGCTGGGTTTGTGTGGTGTCCTTGAAAAGGGCCAAATGATTTAAGCTGTTGTTCTCCTGGGGGTCAGGGAGCGAAGTTAAAGTACCCCGTGATGACTAAAGGGTTATCTCTGACATCCGTGGTCTTTGTGCAGATCCAGAAGTTCTATGTCATTTATTTTAATTCCAGGGCCTAATGACCTAATTTCCTAGGGAGATTGGTCTGCTCTCCTCAGAGCCCCATCTCTTCTAGAGAGCAGTGGAACAAGTGCCCAGTGGATAGAAGTAGCCTGCTGTTTTCAGAGAGACTTGTGGAACTCCACATTATCCTTACAAATTCTGCCTTAGAACTTGATGTCATAGGAATTTATTTACCCGACTTTGTAAAAGTTGACCTTTAACTTAGATTTCTGAGTCAAGAGAAATGATGATCGTAAGTGGAATCTAGGCCACTTGAAGTTGGAAACCCAGCGTCAATGTGGGGAGGCCTCACCTCACACCTCTTCTGCTGAAAGAGAAACTGTGAGGGAACAACAGCTTTATCGGAACAAACATTGTGGGTCGGTCACAACAAGGAGACAAAGTGGGGTTTCCGCATTCAGCCCAGCCAATATGGAACTTAAGAGCTGGGTTCTCATTTCTAGGCCTGGGTTTGTGTAGGAATGAGGCCACCTTCCTTTGCATTGATAGAGCGAGCCATTCAGCTGTTGTTGGGGTGCCGGCACGACGCTGAGAGCTTCCTGTCAGCAGAACACAGCATGGTAGGAGAGATGGAGGATGCCCTGGCCCAGGCCTACGCTGCCTTAGGTAAGGCACATGTCTTCATCTGCTGCTCCGAGGACCACATTTGCCTTATGCTTTTGGTCACGAGCCCAGCCTCATCTGGTTGGACTCCTCTCAGTCTTTTCAGCTGAAGCTGTTCTCACCTTCCACTGAGCTTTCCTCACCCTGAAAACACTCACCCAACACAGTTGACTGTGGTTCTTTTCTGGAACCAGATTTCTCTTTCTTTACAGGGGACTGGCAAAAGTCAGCTACCCATCTCCAGAAGAGTCTCCGAGTGGTTGAGGTTCAGCATGGGCCATCCAGTGTTGAAATGGGCCATGAGCTCTTCAAACTGGCCCAACTCTTTTTCAATGGGTAAGTCTTTCTCTGGTTTCCTAACACCCTCTAGGCCACACACCGTCTTTTATTAGGCTCTTCTGGCGTTACTTTTTTCCTATGGTGCTTTTAAGCATGTGGAAACTTCCTTTATTTCCCCTTGAGGAAATATCCTTTCCTTCTGTTTTTGCTGACAAACTTGAAGCTTTAGAATTTCCTCCTGAGAGATATGGGGAAAGCTCTTAGCACTGGAGGGACATTCCTAGGGGGACGTTGCCAGGCGGTCCCACCACCCGCATCCCGGCAGCTCTCCTTAGCCCTCTGCTTCCTCGCGCCTCCCTCACTGCCCTCTTTCTCAGCACCTTCAGCTCCAGGGGCTCTCCCTTCCCCCATCCTTTTCCTTTTAAAGCAGTTGTTTTCACCCAGGAGTGATTTTGCCCCCACGGGATGTTTGGCAATGTCTGGAGACATTTTGGGTTGTCATGATTCAGGGTGGAGGCCCAGATGCTAGTGAACATCCTGCAATGCACAGGACAGCCCCCCGCAGCTCGGAAGAATCCGGCCCCAAGTGGCACTAGTGTCAAGGCGGGGAGACCCTGCTCTGGAGGTTTAACAGGAGGTTTAACGGAAAGACCGGCAGGTGTTGATGTCATTGGGAGGCCCTGTTTCTAGATGGAATACTTCCTTCCAGCCGTGATAAAGCTGCCATTGGTGCACTTTGCGGTGAGGCGATGTCTGAAGCTCGATCCTAAGATTATGAATGGTTTGTGGACCTGATACCCAAGACATAGAGGTCGCCCGTTTGGTCAAGAGAACAGGGCCGCAGAGTCAGGTCTGGGGTGGACTTGGTTACCTGCAGGTGAAGACTCCTGAGGAGACCCTGGGATAAATCCCAGATTGAACCCCTTGAGATTTGCCTATTTCTCAGGACCTTAGAATCTTTATGCTTTTTCTCATAACTTTGTTTTCAAACTCTGCCTTACAGTGTATTTATGAAGGTCTCTCCCCTACCCTTCTGGATTGTTAGATCCCTGAGAACAAACTGATCTTAGATAATTTTGTATTCTTCACAGGGTGGGAGTAGGCCGTTGATTAATGTTTGCTTGACTGAATGAGTGGCTTCACTCCTTTTACCTCCTTTGGTTCAGGTTTGCAATCCCAGAAGCACTGAACACAATACAGAGGGCAGAAAAGGTTCTGATGGTGCACTATGGCCCTTGCAATGACGAGATCCAGGAGCTACAGAAGATGAAATCTTGTTTATTGGACTCGCCACCCATCTCATTGGGGCCTTCAGTGTAGGAACCCAAGGTTTTCGTCAGATAGTTAACTACCCTCCCATAAAAACTCCCAGTTCCCAGAAAAGACTTGAAACTAGTGTCTGGAGAGCCTAAGCCCTTTAAAAGGATTTTAGCTGATCTGCAGGCATCTGGATGTTAGCCTGGGGTTTTGGCTAGACTCCATCTCACTAAATGATGATAGTCTATTTCCCTGGAACATTCCTATGGCTTCTAGTAGTAATGACATGTTATGTACCACTCCAATGGGAACTTATGCTCTTAGTAGTTGTGTTGTAATTGAAAAATAATTATAAAGCAAGAAATCACCGAGGCTCCTTACCTCTAGAGACATCATTTCATGTTATCGTATCTAGCTTTCTCGAATCCTTTGTTAAAACTGGTACAGTGTAAATTGTGAATAGAGAAATAAGTATGGGGCCACTTTATTGTTGGGCAGTCTCTTCCTGGGATGGCAACTCTAAATTTGTCTCCTACCAGTTTTCCAGTCCTTATTATTGGCCTCTCCTTCTGTACTCTTGGCAGACCCGCTGACCAAACACTAATAGAATCATTGCTGCTTGTGGTTTCAGACTCGAGCGACAGAAGGGAGGGGTGATAGCTCTTTTCTGCCTGGATGTGTAGAACAATAGTCTAGATTTCCATCCTGGCCAGAAGGCTGGGAGACTCTCTGTTCTGAATCCTGGTTGCCATATCACCGTCTGTGACCGAGTGGTTCCAGTGAGTTAGTGGAAAGGAACGTCAGGTCCATGCTGCTTTGAGAGCTTGCCCTCCCTGGCCTGCCCAGGAAGTCCCCACTGTTAGCCTCAGCATTCTCATCAGGAAATGAATAGCCTGGAGATGTCTGGCAGTACCTTTTCAGGAAACTTAGTGTTTAGAACACAGTTTACGTTCAAACGTGTGAGTGAAGGTCAGGCAGGATCTCATTTATTCTTCTTTCTACTAATTCACTGTGGCAAGACAGTGGCCAGTGAGATTTTTTTTTTTCATGGAGATAAATTTTTATTCTTGAAAATTTAGTCCTGAGGACAGCTCTGTATTCTGTTCCAAACACTTGTCATGTTTCATGTTCCTAAAAAAAGGTCCTCTTATACTCTGTAAAATAGGCATGCTTCCTTAAAAAGAATGTGTTTAGAATTTTCACATATCAGGTTCCCATTTTAGGTGTACTTGGGAGCTTTCCTTAAATGCTTTATGAAACATTTCCTTAAGTTACAAATCACCTCTCTTATCTGTCCGTGTGTTATCCTGTGTTGTCAGGTGACATTAGCTTGACTGGGGGATGTCTGTGCTTGCATGAAAAGCTGAAGTTTTGGGGCGCCTGGGTGGCTCAGCCGGTTGGGCATCTGCCTTCGGCTCAGGTCATGATCCCAGGGTCCTGGGATCGAGCCCTGCGTCGGGCTCCCTGCTTGACGGGGAGCCTGCTTCTCCCTCTCCCTCTGCCTGCCACTCCCTCTGCTTGTGCTCTGGCAAATGAATAAGTGAAATCTTTATATAAATAAATAAATAAATAAATACATAAATACATACATACATACATACATAAATAAATAAATAAATTATATATATATATATATATGCGCAAGCAAGCAAGCAAAAGTTTTTGGGGGCACCTGGGTGGTGCAGCCAATTCTTGGTTTCGGCTCAGGACGTGGTCTCAGGGTCATGAGATCAGGCCCTGCGTCAGGCTCCGCACTCAGCACGAAGTCTGCATGAGATTCTCTCTCCCTCTCCCTCTGCCCCTCCTGCTCGTGTGTGCGCTCTCTCTCTCTACAATAAAATAAATAAATCTAAGAAAAAGAAAAGCCCTAAGGTTTGATTTATTTAAGAGCATACCCCACTGATTGTGGGGGCAGGAGATACCCTCTTGCAAGCATTACTGGCCCTAGTACATAAACACTCCCAGAGCAGAGAATCCACCCTGCATTATACAATGAAGATAACTAAAAGTTCTTATAAGTGGTGACTTTCTGCAGAGTTTAGAGAGACCAGGCTATAAGTATAGGACCAGCAAATCACGAAAGGGCTATTTATCTTCATATTAAACTTAACATAGCTCAGAACAGAAGGAGGAACAGGGCAACAAAAGTTAAGGATAAAGCACTTTTATTGCAAAGTATACACTGAAACATTGTAGGGGCAGCCTTCATGTACTATGTAATCTGCCATCCCTCGAGGGTTTTGTTCTTCCAGGCTATTTACTGGAGCATTACATGCCCCTGGGGTCCAGAATTTTACCTATGAAGAGAAGGGCCCCTGTGTCTGTGTCTCTCAGTACAAAGATGAAAGGTTGGTTGAGGTGATAGTCCAGGGGAAAGGTGAGGCGGGCAGGCTGGAGCCCTGGGCTGGGGGTGGTGCCTGCCCCATCCTCGTTCCACTCGAAGCTAGATCGATGTTCCACTTGGGTAAGTTTAATAGGTTTGCCTGTGATCTTGCTAAAGTCTGGCGAATCAAACAAGGATTGCAGTTCTGCAGAAATTGAGAGAGATTTCCATTAAAACCCTGCCTTACCCAACACCCCTCGAAAGAATAGAGTCCACTTGGATGGGAGTCCTGATTCTCAAGAAGGCAGGCAAGCTGGGAGTACATCACCACTTTGGACCCTCGGTGAGGTCTGTAGACCTCTGGGCTGGGTAGGGCTTAAGTGACCTGCCCAAGAGCACACAGCAAGTGAGGTTAAGATTAAAAACCAGCTCTGGGGCGCCTGGGTGGCTCAGTCGTTAAGCGTCTGCCTTTGGCTCAGGTCATGATCCCAGGGTCTTGGGATCGAGCCCCACATCGGGCTCCCTGCTCATCGGGGAAGTCAGCTTCTCCCTCTTCCACTCCCCCTGCTTTTGTTACCTCTCTCGCTCTGTCTCTCTCTGTCAAATAAATAAATAAAATCTTTTAAAAAAAGATTAAAAACCAGCTCAACAGACCTGTGGAGAGACAGTGTTCTGTTACAAGATACGTGCTTTTGGGGCTGAGGAATGTGTCTGATAAGAAAGGCAGTTCAGGCTTCCCCTCCAGCACTGCTAGAATTAAGGAATCATCCATGGCCTCCCCACAAAGCCATAGAGCCCTTGAGTGCTGCTTAGCACGGGTGGAAAGCTCAAAGGCTCAACTCCACCCACCCAAGAGCAAAGTGGTCTTGCAGACATACTCATCTCCTGCAGGGACTTAGTGACTTCGCCTTCATAACTCAGCTTCAGCTTGGGGATGGTCAGGACCGCCTGAATAGTCTTCAGTTCTCGATCGATGTCATGAATGAACTCAGAGGTGAGGCTCTCTTCTATCATGGTCAAGTTCTGGGTTACTTTCAGGGGCAGGAAAAAGATGATACTCGTGCTGCCAGTCAGGGGCAGCTGGGCAATCTGAAACAATAGGGAGGGAGCACATGGGTTAGTCCCTTGGAGCCCAAGAGCCCAGGGCTCGACACACACTCCACACTGCCTTCTCCTCTCCTACGGTGGGTCCCTGGCCGTGCTGTCCCCAGCCCCTAATCTATTTAATAACTGTCCCTCTTGGCCATTGCCTTCTGGCAGCAAGATGTTTACTGAGGTTCCTTCAAAAAAGTAGACTGTTGTCTTTTCTTACCTTGGCCTAATACCAACTGAAGTTAGGTGCTGAAAGAATTTTCTCCTGTGGTTCAAGGAGCTAGAATTGAATTCCAGGTCTGTGTTTTCTCCCAAAGATTGTCTGCCAGTAGTGACTGATCATCTGTTATATACAGAGCCCTGGACTAGAAGTGGGGGGTGTTGAGTACAGCAACACAGAAGCAGTAAAACAAAAAATGGGTCTTTAGGGGCGCCCGGGTGGCTCAGTTGGTTGAGCGTCTGCCTTCGGCTCAGGTCATGATCCCAGGGTCCTGGGATCAAGCCCCGCAGCGGGCTCCCTGCTCGGCGGGGAGTCTGCTTCTCCCTCTCCCACTCCCCCTGCTTGTGCTCTTCCTCGCTCTCGCTCTCTCTCTCCGACAAATAAATAAATAAAATCTATAGAGAACAAAACAAAACATAAAATGGGTCTTTTGAGCAGAGGTTCTTAACCTTAGGTCCATGGGACAAACAGCATTAGGAGTCCTAACAGCCCCTGAAACCACATACGGAAATATGTGCGTGTGCATACGTGACATTTCTCTCAACTGTTTTAGGCGTTTTGTCAGATTCCCAAAGAAGAAGGTTTAAGAACTACTGACTTAGAATTAAAAGATGTGAGGTATATGTGAAAGACTTAGAATGCCAGCAATTTGGACTGTGTGACAGGTTTTTTTTAAGTTTGGCTTTGAATTCTAGAAATAAAAGTTCCCGCCAAAGAAAGAAAAAGAGAGGCAGAGGAAGAAGGGGAAAAAAGACAAGACAACACCAACATGTGAGTTGCCCAGTCTCAGCCCATTTCACATTATCTGTTAATCCTTACAACAAACCCTAAGAGGATAAGTTTCGATACCTATCCTTCATTTTAAGAAGAAAGGCTCAGAGAAGCTATTGACTTGCTGAAAGCCACACAGCGGGCAGAATTTAGACAGCTGTCACATCTCAAAGGTCATCCTATTCCCACTATGCCATCCTGCCTGTCTCTGTCCTCCCCCAACCCACCACTCACCCGGCCCCTACAGACCTTGCAGTTGAGATCAGAGTCGAAGCCATAGCGTATGATGGCCTTAGGGTCTGACATCATGGGGACTCTCACGGTCCTCTCCTCATCCAAGTGGAAATCCTGAAGGGAAGTCTTTCTGGAGTCGAACTTTGTTACCCACTGCCCTGGAATGAAACAGATGGAGTGCCCTGAGCCCCAGGAGACCAGGCAGGCATTGGGACCGTGCCGGGAGACCAAAGCCTATTGTTGAAAGCTGCCTGGCTAAAGGAATCTTAGAGGCCCCGACCGTCAGAGAACAGCTCTGTCTCAGAACATGCGGGCTGGACCACAATATGTCAAGGGCCTGAATACCCTCCATGTAGAGACTCGGGAGGAAATAGGAGGCATCATTGATTTGACCATCTGGATCATACAAATTCTGCAGTGGCCTGGGAGAAAAGTCAACTGGTGTCTCCTTCTGCAGTGAGGTGTCTGGGGGACAGGATCAAAGGAGGTCAGAGCTGCAAGGGACCCCAATATCACCCCTCTCACATCCAGAAAAGCACCAGAGCTCAGAGGGGTGGAGGCCCTGGCCAGTGCTCACAGGTGATTACCAAGGGGACCTTTAATATGCTGACCTGTAACGGCTTCTCTCACTTTCTGGAGATCGTGCTTCAAGTAGGGCCTCTCTCAAGGTCAGGGGTCCACTGGCTACTGCCTGATAGACGGTTATAAAGCATTTTAAGGAGAGGTTGCCCCAAATCCCACCCAAGTCTTATCTGAATGGGGCCGGCCTCACACGGTCCGTGGAGGAGTCTTGGGCACGTCACCACAGCAGGATGCTGTTCGAGAACTAACAACGGTTTGTTGAATCCTTGTTGTGCCCCGGGCACAGTGCCCCGGTGGATGTGAAGACAGGAGACCATGTAGACAGCCAGCCTCCGAAGTAAGTGTGTCAGCCCGTGTTAGGGGTGAGGGAGCCAGGAAGGCCGGGAGGCCTGTGCAGGGCTCGACGCCAGGGAGGGCCCAGCTGGGCTTTGACCCTCATCTGACTCCGGCCCGAATCTCACGGTGCCCACCCCCAAACAGGCACAGGCGAGCTAGCGCTTTCTTCTCTCTGCTGGGCTTTGTGCACGGCCTCTTACACTTTGTAGACACGCACCACATGTTTGCCTGGGACCAACGACAAGCAGGAGCCCTCAGGCAGGCGCCTTTCCCAGGCTGTCCTTTGGCTTCGCCTCTCCGTTCCTGCTGAGCTCTGTCTCTGACGTCCCCCCTTCCCCAGCCCCTCTGACACCCACCACCCACCCTTGGCCAAAGGAGAAGTGAAGCCCTCACCCTTGAAGTAAGCCACACCAAGGAGGAGAATGCTGACTCCACTGGGGATTTCCTGGGTGGACCTAGCGATTTTCCCTTTCATCTGGGCCTGCACCCAGTTGTTAACCTCCTGAAGGTCCAAGCGAGGGTTGCCGGTCAGGATTCTGGGCCTGGTGCCATAGGACTTCTCCAGTGAGGCAACAAAGCTGGATTTTACCCGCAACTCTGGGAAGAGAGGAAGCAGAAGTGAGTGTGCTCTGAGCGCTCACCTGCACCCGCTCTTGGAGAGCGCGCCGGGCTGAGGCTCTGCTTTACCGCGCAGCAGGCCCTGACTTCCCGAGACTCTGTGCCAGCTTCCCCAGGACAGGGAACAAAGAATTTCACTCATTGCTCTTTCTCTTCAGGGTACCGCCCTCCCCCGGCCCTCCCACTGTCGCCCTCAGTCTACTTCCTCTTTCTGATCCTCTTTGAGCTCACGGGGCCCCTGCCTGCCCACCAGCGCCAGGCCCAGCCTGGGCAGCCGTGATCTAGTGTTTAGGAAGAACCCCCCACTTCCCCCCCCGTGCAGCATAGAGCCCCATATTCCTCAGGCATCCCGGGCTAGCCAGGTGACCCACTCCTCTCAAAGATGATCCGGGAGGCACTCTTGAAGTTCTTCTCGGGGACAGTGACGGAGGCAAGGAGCTCCTTATAGGTGCCGTGGATGTCCGGGTTGCTGATCAGGTCATAGTAGAGAGCCCGGTGAATGGTGGATTCTGTCCGCTGTTCCGCTCCTGCCAGAGAGACCAGGGCGGGAGCGTTAGTAACGGGCCACCCAGGCGTAGGTCAGGCCAGCTCCGGGGACAGGACGGGGACACCACGCTCTTGGTCTTCCACTGTTGATACTGGAGGCATTCTAGGTGGGCAAGAAATTCGAAGGCAGTGGAAGAAAAACAAGCTTTTCCTCAAGCAGGCAAAGGCCCGGAGGCCTAGAGAGAGCGACAAGGGCAGGAGGGAAGGTTCAAGCCCCTGGGCTTCTCCGGTCCCAGCTCTTACCAGAACGTTTTGCGGTCACCTGCTCCCGAGTCTCCCCCGGGAACAGCTGTGACCGGGTGAGGGCAGGGACCACGCCTGCTTGCGGGCGGGGCACCCCCAGCGTCTAGCCGGATGGCTGGCACGCAGAAGCTCGTGTATGGAATGAGTGTTGAAGTCATC